CTTAATTGGAAACAAGGAAGTCAAATTAGCCCTGTTTGAAGATGACATGATCCCCTATACAGGGGAAGTAAAAGACTCCACTAAGAATTCAGCAAAGTTGCAGGGCCAGAGCTGTGGTACAGCAGGGCAAGTAATGACCTGCGACTCAGGCATCCCATATGGACACCAGTGAGTTCCAGCTGCTTTGCTTCTGATCCAGCTCCCTGCTAATGAACCTGGGAAAGCAGCAAACAATGGGCCAAGTCCCTAGGTCCCTGCACCCACGTGGGAGACCCAGAAGAAGCTCCTGGCTTCGGCCTGGCACAGCCCTGGCCATTCACATCTGGGAAGTGAACCAGCAGATGGAAGAGTCTCTCTGTCTCTCCCCTCTCTCTGTAATTCTACCTTTGAAATAAATAAATAAAATCTTTTTAAAAAACAGCATTCGTATAGTAACAATGCTCTGACAAAAAGAACTTCCAAGATCAGCCCCATTCACAATAGCTATAAAACATTTTAAGGGGCCAGCACTGTGATGTAGTGGATTAAGCCTCCACCTGCAGCACCAGCATCCTATATGGACACTGGCTTGAGTTCTGGCTGCTCCACTTCGGGTCCAGCTCCCTGCTGATGGTCTTGGAGGGCAGTGGGGGATGGCCCGGGTGCTTGGGCCCCTGCACCCTCGTGGGAAACGTGGAGGAAGCTCCTGGCTCCCGACTTCAACTTGGCACAACTCTGGCCATTGCAGCCATTTGGGAGTGGACCAGTGGATGGACGATCTCTCTCTCTGTAACTCTGCTTCTCAAAAGAATAAATAAATCTTTAAATTTTTTTTAAATCCTTGGAATGTGAAGGATCCCACAACGAAAATTATGCTTTTTTTAAATTTATTTGACAGATAGAGTTAGACAGTGAGAGAGACAGAAAGGTCTTCCTTCCACAATGAAAATTATGAAATATTAAGGGAAGAAAAAGAAGAAGACACATATAAAAAAATGGAAAGATCTTCCACATTTGTCAATTGGAGGAATTATCATCAAAATGTCCATCAAAAAACCAATTTACAGATTCAATGCAATCCCAATCAAAATATCAATGCTTCTCAGATCCAGAAAAAATGACCATAAAATTCGCATGGAAACACAAGAGACCACAAATAACCAAAGCAATAAAACAAAGGCAATAAAAACAAAGCCAAAGGCAATACAATATCAAATTTCAAGACATACTACAGGGTTGTTATAATCAAAACATCCTGGTACTGGCACAAAAATAAAACATGTGAAACAACAGAACAGCATAGACACCCCAGAAATTAATCCACATATCTACAACCAACTGATCTTTAACAAATGAGCTGAAATCACTCCCTGGAGAAAGGACAGCATCTTCAACAAATAGTGCTGGGAAAATTGGAACTTTGCATGCAGACATATTAAACAAGACCCCTACCTAACACCCTATACAAAAATCAACTCATAACAAACCAAGGAGCTAAACCTAAGACCTGAAACCATCAAGTTACTAGAGGAAAACATAGGGGAAATGCTGCAAGACATTGGCCTAAGCAAAGGCTTCATGGATAAGACCCCAGAAGCACAAGCAATAAAAACAAAAACAGACAAATGGGATTACTTCAAGCTAAGAAGCTTCAGCACAGCTGAAAGCACAGAGGAAACACTCAAAAAAGAGGCAACCAATAGAATGGAAGATTTGCAAACTATATATCTGATAAAGGATTACTATCCAGAATACATAAAGAACTCAAGAAACAACAACAACAAAACAACCAATCTAGTTAAGAAATAGAGAAAGGGAAGGAGAGATGGAGGGGGGAAGGGGAAGTATCATTATGTTTTTAGAATTGTATTATGAAATACTTGAAATCTGTTTTCTTTATATTAGCAAAAAAGAAATGGGCAAAAAACATGAACAGGCACTTTTCTCCCTGTTTTTTTTTTTTTTAAAGATTATTTATTTGAAAGGCAGAGTTACAGAGAGAAAGAAATATTCCAACTGTTGGTTTATTCTCAAAAGGCCACCACACCCAGGGTTGGGCCATATCAAAGCCAGGAGCCAGGAGCTTCTTCTGTGTATCCCACATGGATTCAGTGGCCCAAGGACTTGGGCCATCACCTACTGCTTTCCCAGGTACATTAATTAGGGGGTGGATTGGAAGTGGATCAGCTGGGACTCAAGCCAGCACCCATATGGGATGCTGGTGTTGCAGGTGGCAGTTTAAACTGGTACACCACAATGCTGGCTCCCCTGAAATACAAATGGCCAATAGACACATGAAAAAAAAAAAATGCTTAGGATGACTAGCATTGAGGGGAATGCAATTAAGAACCACAACAAGATTTCACTTCATCCCAGTTAGAACAGTTATCATCCAAAAATCAAAACAATAAATGCTGACAAGGATGTGAAGAAAAAGGTACCCTAATACACTGTTCATTGGAATGTAAACTGGTACAACCATTATTGAAGACAGAATGGAGATTTCTCAGAAAACTAAAAATATATCTATCATATGACCCAGATATCCCACCCCGGAAATATATGCAAAAGAAATGAAATCAGCATGAGTTACCTATACCCCCATGTTTATAGCAGCTCAACTCACAATAGCTAAAATATGGAATCAACCTAGATGTCTATCAGTTGATGACTGGATAAAGAATATATGGCATATATACATGATGGAATACTACTTAGCCATAAAAAGAATGAAATCTTGACTTTTGCAACAAAATGGATGCAACAGGAGATCATTATGCTTAGTGAAATAAGCCAGACCAAAAAAGGCAAATATCACATTTCATCTAACTTAGGGTAGCTAATATATAGTGTATTAAAAAATTAATGTATGAGTAAAATTGAGATATTGAGATCTTGGGATATGACTATTGTTTACAGCCCTTGTCTATATAAGTTCCTGGTCTTGCAATCCCGTGATTCTTTGATTCATTTTTAGTCATTTCCCTGTTTTGTTTCCCCTAACAACCACTAACTTGAGTAACACAGTTCCTACCTGTTACACCAAACTGCAGAACCAGTTCCAACAGACTTGTGTAACACACAGTTAAGTAAAGATAGTCTGTTAGAAGACTGTCACACATGTGGGACCCAAGAGGCAAATAACACAGTAATGAATCACTGAAGTCTTGAACTCATAACCGTTTTTGCTTTCTGCCAACCTTTCATGTTGTATTAGTTAGAATAAAAACCTTACTACATTTTTTAAAAAAGGAAGACTTGGTTAAAATGCAATTTTCCACCTACTTTATGCTGAGAGAAATGTATACAGATGTGCATCAGAATGTTAATATCCAAAATACATATTTTTAAAAATTATTGGGGGAGGGGAGTTGGAGACAGAGAGAGGAGGAGAGATCCTTCCATATTCTGGTTCACTCCCTTAATGTCCCCAACAGAGCCAAAACTGGGAGCTGGGAATCTAATCCAGGCCTCTCACTTGGGTGGCAAGGACCCATAGGAATATACATCAACAAAAAAGCAGCCACGTATATTGCAACGGAAGGTTACAGGGAAGTAAAAAATAAAGAACTACTGAGAGCAAATCATGATATGCATACAGGATGCCAAACCATGCGATACGGCTGGAATGCACAAGCAATAAAGGCAATGTTTCCACTAATACGAAGCTCAAGCCGACAAAACTCATCAGTGATGTGAGAACTCGGGATCCAGACTCGGGAGCAGGGGCAGAATCCAGCTGAAGCAGAGAGGAACTCTTGGAATCCTGGAGCTATTCTAGTTGTACTCTGACGAAACTGGTGGTGACACAAGGTGATAAATCTGTAAAAATTCATTGACCTGTATAACTGAGACGTATGCACTTGTGGACTTCACGTGTGTTTTACGTCTCAACCAAAGTTAAGGGGAAAAATGTAATTTCCAAACTGTCTGCACTGGAACAGGGCTTCTTTGGGCCAAAATTCACGTTGGGCATGGATTCCGGGCCACACACCGTGGACACCCTGTTTGCATTCTTTTTGCCAGTGACAACCGTGTAGCACCCTAACAATCCCACAAAACGAACGTTCTCGGTCAGAAGACACCGGGTTTTTCACTTCCTAAGAGCCAAGCACCGTTTTCAGCACATGAAAAAGGCAAGGCTCACTCCACCGCCGCGCCTAGTCAATGTCAGCCGACTGTCACCACGTCGCCTGCACGGATCTCAAGATTTTTTTTTTTTTTTTTTTTTTTTTGCATCCAGATCAACTTTTCTTCTCCTTAATTGCACGTTTCCAAAAGCATTTCGAGGCAGCCCCAAGAGCTAGAAAACATCTCTAAGACGACTCAAGGGCTTTAAAAACAGCTTCAGCTCCGGCACCGCATTGCCAGCGCGGGCAGGAGCACCGCCGCGGCGCTGACCAATCCCTCCCGGGCCACCGGCGCCTCCAGGCGGAGCCCCCCGCAGCCCGGGCCCCGCAGCCCGCAGCCCCCGCGTCCCCGCTGGGCTGCGGTCGGCTGTCAGAGAGACCGATGTTAACTAAACCAGGAGCTGACAGCCGCCGGGGTTATAAAAAAAAAAAAGTTTACCCACTGAGAGGCGCAGTGGAATCTTTTTGCAAAAGATGATTTAGAAAACACGGGCACGCAACCCGGGGCGGCCTCCGGCAGGAAGAAGCCCGCGGCGCCTCGGCAGCCCGCCGGGCGCCGGCCGCGCACCCAGGCCCCCTTAGCCGGGGCTCGTCTGAGGTGACCCCGACTAGCCGCGGCAGCCCCCCGGTCCCAGCCCCGCAGCCCCGAGCGGGCGAGGCCGCGAGGGCCGAGTACTCACCGCGCTCGCCGGCCGCGCGCACCGGGGCCGCCGCCGCCTCCTCGCGGCCGCGGGCCCCCGCCGCGGGCAGCGCCCAGCGCTCCGGGGCCGCCCCGGCCGCCTCAGCCGCCTCAGCCGCCCCAGCCTCCGGGCGCGCCGCGGCGCGAGAACGGCCACTTCCGGCGCGCGCGAGGAAATGAGGCCGCGGCCGCCGCGCCCCGCCCAGCCCCGGCCCCGCCCAGCCCCGCGCGCGCTGCGGGCGCGCGGCGTGGGGCGCGCGGCCACGGGCAGCTGGGTGCACGGATGGGTGTGCAGAACGCCGTGTGTGGCCCGAGCGAGCGCCTGCACGGAGCGGCCGCAGCCTGGCGCGCCCGGGCTGAGCGCTTCCGAGGGGCCCGCGTGGGCGCTGGCTGGGGGGCCGACTGGTGTCCATGGGCGTGGGGGTGGCTCAGGACGCGGGACCTACTGTTCCTTGGGCCCGAGTTCGCTCCTGCGTTGAAGGAGGGAGTCCAGGTGGTCGTTGCCTGGTTTCGGTGAGCGGGAAGAAGACAGGCGCCCCTCACACTTGGGCCACTCGCCCCCTGGGTGCACTACGTCCCCAAGGCGCTGCGTCCCCCTGGTCCCAGCCTGAGCGGCGCCAGGCCCTGCACGTGCCCGCACAGAGCGCAGCGGTGCTGGGAACCCGCTTTACCGGCTTGCCTGGGCAGGCTCCCTCGGCTTGGCCTCTGCGCGCCTCTGTGTCTTGGGGACAACAGCAACCGTGAAGGGCGTGCTTTCCGGAGCTGTTGTGAGACTTGCACGCAGTGTGGTATTGCAAGCGCTTGGCACTGTGCGCGTATCATTATTACTAAACGCAGCTAGACCCAAAGCCGAGCTGACTGCTGGGTGCACCTGCAGAAGCTGCTTGGGGTGGGTGGAGGATTTGATTCTATGCAAAGCTGTCTTCATTGGTTGTCCTGGGCTCCGACTGGACAGCCTACGTAAAATGTTTTATTACTGCTATTATTTAAGTTTATTTGAAAGGCAGAGAGAGAAGAGCTATCTCACATTCTTTTTTTTTTTTTTTTTTTTTTTTTTTTTTTTTTTTTGACAGGCAGAGTGGACAGTGAGAGAGAGAGAG